TCAGATCTTGGGCACCTTTATCACCCTGCAAAGATATTTTGATTTCCCATTAATTTTCTTTTTAACGGGAAAAATGTTGTAATAGACTGGTCTGTTTAATTTTTGAACAAGTAAGTATATCCATGGGCCAAGCAAGGAATGGTGTTAGCGTTGCCAACCTCCAGGCAGGGGCTGGAGATCCACTATTACAGCTGATTTCCAGGTGACAGAGATCAATTCCCCTGGAGATAAAGGAAGGTTTGGGAGGCGGACTCTATTGGCATTACACCCCAATGGAAGTCCCTCGCCTCTTCAAACCCCGCTCTCAGGCTCCACCTCCCCCCCCCCAAAATCTACAGGTATTTCCCAACCTGGAGCTGATAACCCTAGATGGTGTATGTCTCTGTGTGTGTGTTGTGTGTGGGGGGGAGTAATAGGTAATTTTCATTTCAGGTTGTCAGGTCTAGGTTAGGAAAGGATTTTGGGGGTGGAACCTGAGGAGGGTGGAGTTTGGGGAGGGGAGGGAGTTCACTGGGGTACAGCGCCACAGAGTCCACCTTCCAAAGCAGCCATTTTATCCTAGTTTAATTTTGTGGGTATAAGCGTTCATGTGCAGGCACACAAAAGCTTATACCCAGAATCAAACCGGTTGGTCTTAAAGGCGCCACTGGACTCAAATTTTGTTTAGTAGGTATTATAGGCATAGGAGGATCCCTGCCAAGGATGGGGCAAAAAATGGCATTTCTATTTGGCTGTCTGGATTGCGGGGCTACTAAGTGAGAAACGCCACATTTCACCCCTGAAGAGTAAAGACATTGCTTACTATGCCATTCAGCGCTAAGTACATTAAAAGGAAAATAAATGCCTGAGACTATCTATGAAATGTAAGTACTTTGGTTCAGAGAGTAGGAAGAAGTAGCCGACGTTTTGGTTTCTGTAATGTATCCATCTCAGACCGCGTGCGTGGCCATTTCACCACGCAGTCAGGCGAAGCGACAGAGCTTCGCTCTCAAGAACAATGGGCCAAGCAGATCCTAGCCTATGGAACTCTCAGCCACTGTAAATAGCCAATCACATGTGTGTGGGTGTGTTTGGGGGTGCGGGGTTATGCACATATAAACCAGACTGCGAGCTGGCGACTCTCGTCCTGAGCTGAAATAAAGTATGAGAGCTGAAATCACTAGTAAGTCTCAGTACTTTTCACTGGCGACAAGGATGGGATTCTAACTCCCAGGAACAACGACCCGGACAAAGATTCGAGCACCGCATCGAGCCCCAACGCCGAGACCACCGCAAGCCGCTCTGCTTTGCACCCTGGTTCTCCGGTAGCCGCTCCTCGCTCCGTACCTCGCCTGCTGACCCCAAGAGCAGCAGCGCTTCCTGCCTCACTCCAGCCGCTGCCACCGCTGTTTCCGAGCTACCCTCATCATGTGGAAGCAGTGCGATGGCTACCTCCCAGGAAAGTATCGCCGCTTTCGACATCTCCCGCCCCGCACAGTGGGAGATCTGGCTCGAGATCCTGGAGAACTATTTCGACTGCCACGACATCATAGACCCGGGTAAGAAAAAAGCCCATCTCCTCCGGTCCTGTGGCATCTTGCTGCTTAAGGACCTCATTGCGCCTAAGCAGACCAAGGACGAGTCCTATGTGGTGCTGGTGAAAGCGCTGACCGACCACCTTTCACCAAAGCCCACAAAGTTTGCAGAGCGCATGGACTTTTTTGTGCGGGTCCAGGGGCCGGACTAGCCAGCCTCCGAGTTCTTGGCCAGGCTCCAGCGGGCGGCCACCAGGTGTTCATTTCCTCACCTGACGGACGCCTTGCTAAACCAGTTCCTTTTGGGTCTCCGGGAGCCCAAACACCGGAGGAAACTAGTTAGCCAGGATGACCTGGACCTAGACAAGGCGCTCAGGAAAGCCCCAGCCTACGAGAAGGCGCACCAAGACCGCCGCATGCGGGCGGTCCATTGCACACAAGCAACGCTCAGGTCGGACGACTCCGAGAATGAGGAAGTGCTCCAGGTCTGCCGCCGTTCATCCCAGCAGCATCACCCCGGGGGAGCACCATCGTCCAAAGCTCCCTCTGCCTCGTCCCAATGCGCCAGCTGTGGGGAAGCGCACAAACGCTGGGATTGCTGCTTCAGGGATGCCATCTGCCGCTCCTGCAACAGGCCAGGCCATCTGGCCAGGGTTTGCCGCTCCCGACAGCCTCAGAAAACTTCGGCCCACCAGACAGCAGCAGATCTACCCACCCACCTTCATACCCTCTCTGCCCACCACCAGCTGCACCAGGTATGTAACTTGCCCCCCATGGCCCGAATAAGATGCATATGACGGTGTGCTTATAGAGGGGTCCCCCTGCAGCATGGAAATAGACACTGGCTCGAACTATTCCATAATTTCAGACGAAATGGCAGCGCAAGCCCGGTCTACGCCCGGAACTATGCGCAAGGCCCGCCATGAATTCCGGCCCGGGTGGTGAGAGTCCAGGGACCCAGGTCCTACGATGTTTCCAGCGAAGATGGTCTGATACTTCACCGGCACATTGATCAGCTGCGGCAACAGGTACTGCCACGCAACCCCAAGGACTTCGAGGACCCAGACACCCCGGAGACTCCCACTCCGCCTCAGCTACCGGAGGACCTGGCCCGGCGAAATGAGGTTCCCGTCGAAGCTCCAGCAGACCGCACAACCGGGCTCCGAGAAACAGCGCTACCAGCACCCCAACCACCAACTCCGCCCATCTCGCAGCCGAGCGCCCCGGTGGCATCTTCCGCCCCAGTTCCCGCACCTCGCCGCTCTACGAGAACCCGTAAAGCCCCCTCCTATCTGCAGGACTTTGTGTGTGGGTGTCTTTTGGACCAAGGGGGGTGTAATGTATCCATCTCAGACTGCATGCGTGGCTATTTCACCACACGGTCAGGCGAAGCGACAGAGCTTCGCTCTCAAGAACAATGGGACAAGCGGATCCTAGCCGGCACCTATCGGCCACTGTAAATAGCCAATCACTTGTGTGTGGGTGTGTTTGGGGGTGCGGGGTTATGCACATATAAACCAGTCTGCGAGCTGGCGACTCTCATCTTGTTCTGAGCTGAAATAAAGTATGAGAGCTGAAATCACTAGTAAGTCTCAGTACTTTTCAGTTTCCAACATTCCTAAACCGCGCATGCCAGCAAGAAACCACAACGACCCGAGCCTTGTTCCTCCTAGAAGCAGCCGGTTTCTGGCCTTATCTCCAAGGCACTGGTCGGCTACTTGATGAGTGATGGAAAAGACGCTGGCTGGGCAGACCCCTTTCCCACTCCCCACACTTAGGTTCAGAGAGTAGGTTAAGATGCTGAACTGCAGGCTGTGGAAGGTCAGTAGTTCAGCAGTTCAAGACCCGAGTTGCCGCACGACGGAGTGAGCTCCCGTCTCTGGTTCCAGCTCCTGCCAACCTAGCAGTTCGAAAGCAAGGAATTGCAAGTAGATAAATAGGCACCACTTCGGTGGGAAGGTAACAGCGTTCTGTGCGCCTTGGTGTTTAGTCACGCCGGCCACATGACCACGGAAACGTCTTCGGACAGCGCTGGCTCTTCAGCTTTGAAACAGAGATGAGCACCGCAACCCTAGAGTCGGACTCGACTGGCTTTTGAGCAAGGGAACCTTTACCTTTTGGAGCTGTGGTTAAGACGCTGAACTGCAGGCTGTGGAAGGTCAGTAGTTCAGCAGTTCGACCCCTCATGATGGAGTGAGCTCCCATCTCTAGTTCCAGCTCCTGCCAACCTAGCAGTTTGTAAGCAAGAAATTGCAAGTAGATAAATAGGTACCTCTTCGGTGGGAAGGTAACAGTGTTCCCTGCGCCTTGGTGTTTAGTCATGCCGGCCACATGACCACGGAAACGTCTTCGGACAGCGCTGGTTCTTGGCTTTGAAACGGAGATGAGCACCGCAACCCTAGAGTCGGACTCGACTGGCTTTTGAGCAAGGGAACCTTTACCTTTTGGAGCTGTGGTTAAGACGCTGAACTGCAGGCTGTGGAAGGTCAGTAGTTCAGCAGTTCGACCCCTCATGATGGAGTGAGCTCCCATCTCTGGTTCCAGCTCCTGCCAACCTAGCAGTTCGAAAGCAAGGAATTGCAAGTAGATAAATAGGCACCACTTCGGTGGGAAGGTAACAGCGTTCTGTGCGCCTTGGTGTTTAGTCACGCCGGCCACATGACCACGGAAACGTCTTCGGACAGCGCTGGCTCTTCAGCTTTGAAACAGAGATGAGCACCGCAACCCTAGAGTCGGACTCGACTGGCTTTTGAGCAAGGGAACCTTTACCTTTTGGAGCTGTGGTTAAGACGCTGAACTGCAGGCTGTGGAAGGTCAGTAGTTCAGCAGTTCGACCCCTCATGATGGAGTGAGCTCCCATCTCTAGTTCCAGCTCCTGCCAACCTAGCAGTTTGAAAGCAAGAAATTGCAAGTAGATAAATAGGTACCTCTTCGGTGGGAAGGTAACAGTGTTCCCTGCGCCTTGGTGTTTAGTCATGCCGGCCACATGACCACGGAAACGTCTTCGGACAGCGCTGGTTCTTGGCTTTGAAACGGAGATGAGCACCGCAACCGTAGAGTCGGATTCGACTGGCTTTCGAGCAAGGGAACCTTTACCTTTCTTTTACACCAGTAGTACGGTTTGTGTTAGGGAACAGGCGGGTCTACTCAGAAGTCAGCCACACTGAGTAGCCCCTCACGCTTTCTCCCAGGTGAACGTGCACGGGATCGTGGCCTTCGGACTGTTGCTGCGAAGAATTTCTTCGGCTCCCTCAAGAGGCAAGATCTGCTCCTTTCCATCCAAGAGACTTCCAGGCGATGTCCATCTACCGCCACGCCTCAGAGGGAGGGGGCAGAGCCGCGTCCTGTCCCTTCTTCCATCACGTGGGGAAAACAAATCCTCCCCCGGTCGCCCTGCCCCATTTGCACAAGCCGAGCGGCTGGGCAAGCTGAAATCAGGAAGCGGCGGCGGCGGCGGCGGCGGCGGCTTTCTTGTCTCCCGGCACAATGAAGATGCATTTCAGTATCCCCTTCTCAGAGAACGTGCTGGAGAAGTTTGGAGGCCGCTATGTGGTGAAGTAGCGTCCTGAGAGCATAGGGGTGCTTGGAGGGTGCTCTCAGCCGTGGCTGTGGGACTAAGCAGGCGATGTGGGGCGGGGGGATAAACAAGCAGAGCGAGATCTGCAAGGCAAGGGGTGGCTTGGCGCAGGTTTTAAAGGGGCATGTGTGTGATACAGCCACTTTGGCTTCCCCATTTTGTTAACAGCGTGCTAAAACTGTAATGGGGTGGTTTAAATATGCCCTTAATCCACATTAAGAAGTGAATTGCTTTATCCTTCAGAGTGATGGAGGGAGGGACAGAAGGTGGTGTGAGGGAAGAATGGGGAGATGTGCAGCTGATGTAGCCCCAAAACTGCCACAGGTGAAGTCAGGCGCTTGCACTTGCTTGTAAGGGGGCAATCTAGGGTTGCCAGCCTCCAGGTGAGGCCTGGGGATCTCCCGCTTTTACAGCTGATCCCCAGCCGACAGAGATTAGCTCCCCTGGAGAAAATGTATGCTTTGAAGGGTGGACTCTATGGCATTGTATTATGTTGAGGCCTCTCTCCTCCCCAAACCACGCCCTCTCCTGGATCCACCCCCGAAGTCTCCAGGTATTTTCCAACCCAGACTTGGCAACCCTAGGGCAATCAGTGTGGGTGGGGAGCACTGAGCTTGCTTTGAGAGGTGTTGTTTGACAAAAGGGTTTTAAAGGGTGGACTTTTTTCTGTGGCTTGTTGTTGGCCCTCCAGAGTAACTGGTTGGCCACTGTCTGAGACAGGATGCTGGACTAGATGGACCCCTGGTCTGCTCCAGCTGGGCTCTTATGACTTCTGTGAGGGAAAATTGGGGAATCTGAGGGAAGGATGAGCGGCTGTGGAACTGTGTACTGGTCCCCAGCTTGGGTTTGTTTTCTATGAGAAAGGGAAGGGGGATCACATTCATAAAGCTTACAGGAGTCAGTGTCTGGATTATAGCAAATGAGGAGCATTATTTGTGTTTAAGTGTCAGAAAGGAGGTGAGTCTTGGGCTGGGATGTGGAAGAAAGGAACCTCAGGCTGTTGTCTGGCTAGAGGGACGAAAATGTGTGTGTCCACCAAAAAGCAGATGGGGGAATTAACGTAGATGCTATTGAGCTGCACATCTAGGAACCCTCTCGTGTGGCCTGGGAAGAGCTAGGCTGTTTTGTAGAAGAAAGGGTGAGTTGTTTTTTTAAGTGGTGCGTTACAATTTCTGAAATAATGGACATGTGTTCTAAACCTGTGCAGATCAGCAATAATAGGTAGTCCTTTACAATAAGGGATGTTTGCTGTTCTCAGATCATATAGAGGGAACTGAGAGGGAAGGATAAATGTGAGAATGTACACTTGTGTGACAGGGACTGAGAAGGGGCAATTCTGCAGCAAATGTGTGTGATGTTACGAATTTTTGACAGACAGGAGGATCCCCCTGTGTTAGGATTTGCCAGATCTGTAGGAGAAGAGTTAAGAGTCTGTACTAGGGAAGGAATGAGTATAGGTAGCAGAAACTCATAAGCTCCTAAAACACTCATAAGAGTAATTTGAAGACCTGTGTATTTTCAGCTGTACTCTGTGTATTTGGAAGGCTTTCTCTTCTGCAAAGTGCGTTACAGTCAGTTGCACCAGTGGGATGAATGGGTAAGACATTCCAGTTCATTACCTTTTTTCTCCTTCCACTTACTGTCTTTCTTGCCCCTTTTCAGTTTCTGTCACAGAACCTTTGGGAGGATATATATTTTATGTGGAAAGAATACATTCTGTAATACTCATTGGTTAGGTGTGGGATCCCCTAAATATTCTGGCTACCAGTACAGATGCACCTTCCCAATTTAAGTTAGATGAAAGACTGTCAATCTTCATGTATTTAGAACAGTAGACTTTCATTCAAGTGTGCCGTCAAGTTGCAAGCGACATATAGTGACACCCCCCCCCCCATGAAGTTCTCAAGGCAAGAGATTAGCGGAGGTGGTTTGCCATTGCCTTCCCAGGTCCACATCCCTACTCTACCATGGAAGCTTTACATGATCTCAGCCTGATCTACCTCACAGAGTTGTTGTGAGGATAAAATGGAGGAGAGGAGAACAACATAAAGTGCTTTGGCAGGATATAAATGAAGTCAACAAATGTGTGAACATAAGAGAAGCCATATTGGATCAGGTCAGTGGCCCATCCAGTCCAACATTCTGTGTCACACAGTGGCAAAAAAAAAGGTGCCATCAGGAGGTCCACCAATGGGGCAGAACTCTAGAAGCTCTGTTGCCCCCCAAGCACCAAAAATCACTGCCCCAAACAGAGTGTTCCATCTATACCTTGTGGCTAATAGCCATACTTATGCATTATTGCGTATCTGTGCTTCATCCTTAAATTTTTCAATAATTCCATCTATTCTGCACAGGTAAGTAGAGAGAGGAAGGAATTTCTGTCTGAGAATTCTCAGGATCTTCTCTAAACTGCAGTTCCTGGGGTTTTGTGTGTGTGTGTGTGTGTGTAAAATGGTATAAATCCATATAGATTTGTAACTAGATTTTCCCTCAGTCTTTACATGGCTCAGAGGCTTTCTGGTTTCCAAGTTGAAGGTCCTAGTTTCTGGTTTCCAAGTTGAAGGTCCTAGTTTCAATCCCTAGTTTCAGTCCCTGCCATCTCCAATGTTGTTGTCTTTTAAAGATCAGATGGTACGTGATGTGAAAGACTTCTCTGCCTGAGACCCTGGAGGGCTACTGCTTGTCATAGTAGACAGTACTGACCTTGATGGACCAAGAGTCTATGGTTCAATATTATGGCACTATGTGTATTTCTGCTTGCTGACAAAGTTTATTTTTAGAAGGCTGGACCCCTACAATAGTTTATGAGATTGATATGCTGATACTCATATACATTTTCACATTTTCCTTTTTAATAACTTAGGAGAAAAGCAGAATATAAATGTCTAAATAAATACACCTATTTTCGGTGTGCTTCTTCAAATATATCAAAATATAACGGGAAAATTTCCAGTATAAGCTAGTTAAGACAAAACAAATTGGAAACACTGTTACCATCTATGTTAAATATAGCCAATGTAATATCCTTATTAAAAACCTTTATCTTGATGATTTCAAGTTACATTCAGTCCTACTCAAGCACGTAGTAAGAGGGCTAGAGAGATTGGGTTCCATATAAGAACAGAAAGCTTTGAAAAAGTTCCATACAAAGCGGCTTTCAGTCTGGAGGGGTGCATGGAAAGCTTCAAAGAACTTCAGTCACAGTTATTTATGAACTGGTGACATCTTTATACAGACGTGATAACATAGCTGGGAATTACAGGGAGTGAGCTCCACTTACTGAAAGGTGCTGTTTACACTAGGAAGGAAATGTGTGGAGTGGCCCCTTTAAACGATTTGTGACATTCCTTGGAGCTGTGTATTGTGTTTTTAAAAACTTTATAACTTATAAACTTTGTACAATTATGTTACATCAATACAAGATGATATTATATGAAACATATAACATGATAAGATTGATATAATAACTAAATACTATAAAAAACTACAAAACACTACAAACTTCAAAATGAGCATCAATGAAAAGATTATAGGATATAAAAGTATAATATTGCCTATACAATTTTAGCCATATCAAAGTACAGTAATTATATCAATATACCTCTTAGGAATAGAGTTTACAGGAACTGAGTTATCATTAAATGCTGCCTCTATGAATGGTAACCATTTGGCATAAAACAGAGATTGAGCTTTATAAGTGTTATATGGGGGTGATAAAATCGCTAATTTTTCCATTGCATAAATTTCCCAAATTTGCATAAACCATTGGTGTAAAGTCAGTGTATTAGTACTCTTCCAATTTCTGGCAATTACAGTCTTAGCTGCCAGTAACATTAAGGAAATGAGCTCTTTGTGTGTTTGGGGGATTTCCAAGTCATCCCATAAATCTAGAAGCACCAAAGTAGGTGACAAGGGTAAAGTTATGTTAGTTATTTTCTTTATCGTTTGCAGAATTAAAGACCAAAAATTCCTGATGGTCTTGCACGTCCACCGAGCTGTGTATTGTGAATGAAAAACATATAAGACTGTTACCACCGCTGTTCATTATTGTAAATTGTGTAAATGATTATGAGTGCTGTTTGGAAGACAGTATACATGTAATATTGTTATAGTGGTTCCAGTTGTCCTCTTACCACGGACTTGAGTAGGATTGAATATAACTTGAAATCATTAAAATAAAGGTTTTAATAAGGATATTACATTGGTTATATTTATTGTTGATGGTAATAGTGTTTCCAGTTGGTTCATCTTATCTACAAATATATCAGCAAATCCTCCTAATTTATCAGTGTCAATAACAGACCAGGTAGCAACTTCTTTTTTTCTTTTAGTAATTCGATTTTAGAGATATTGGGACTTTGAAAAGGATATGGAAGTGAACAAAGCGCTACCTGTGCTCAGCTTTGGATGTAAAGATTTCATTGGTATGATAACACAGACTGTAAAGTTTGTATCATATATGTACAATGCCATATCTTTGGGGCTCAGGGCTAAGGGGGCTTTTAAAGTTTGACAATAAATCTAGGGGGGGGGAACACAAGGAGGAAATTCAGAATGGAAGAAAAGCGATCATCTGTTTCTCTGTGTCAGTGTCTTCAACTTGGAAAATACCGCGTTAAAAGTTTCCCTTTCTAAAAAAAATTAACTACCCTAAGCTTTGTGACATTCACAAATGCACACACAAAAAAAAATGAATGACACTGAGAACAGGTTTCTGTTACGTTCTGATGCTTTTAGCGAGGGGGAGCATGTAGGGAGTGATACTAAGTATGCTATGATGATATCCTCCTCCGCCCATGAAAAACAATGGCCTCCTTTGAGATACTTCCCCACAGAAAAATTCAAGTTATGTTAGCTGGATTTCAGCTTTTGTGTAAGAAAGATACTGACACTGATCCAGATCCCAAATAATATATTGTGCTTTTTTTTAAAAAAAAGAAAGAAGTCTGCTACTGTATCCTAAACCTAAATGCAGACTTGCAGTACATGTAGCAACTTTCTGGAGGGAGTCCTCTCTGAGACTGGTTTGTTGTCCGGCAGTAGGGCTGCCAACCCCACCGGTAGGGCGGAATTCCCCCCGCCCCGGAGGCCCGTTACCCGACGCCGGGGAATCGGGGCCCGGGGGGAACTCCGCCCCGGCGTGCGTGTCACCCGGAAGTGACGTCGCACGCTGGGGGCGGGGCCATGCCATTTGAGGGGAAAACTCTTTGTTTTCCCCTCAAATGGCGTGGCCCCGCCCAGCGTGTGACGTCACTTCCGGTGACGCTCCGGCGGCGCGCGCGCATCCTCGGACAACTCCCAGACCGGCAGGACGCTCCCCCGCCGGTACGTTTTTAACATTTGGCAACCCTATCCGGCAGTTGCATACCCATTACAACTTGCTATCAAATATTATAATAATTGTGTGCCATCAAGTTGTAAACAACTCATGGCAACTCAAGATCATGGAATTTTCATTGTAAGAGATGAGTAGAGATGGTTTGCCACTGCGTTCCTCTGCATAGCACCTTAGTGGTCTCCATCCAAATACAAATAGCCAACTCTGCTTAGCTTCCAAGCTCTGATAAGATCAGGCTAGCCTGGGCAGCTTAGCAACTTGTGACATCAAATAAATAAGCATCTGGCAATGCTGGCAGAAGGTTATTTTCCTAGAAACCAGAAAATATCTATGGTTGAGGTTGGGTGAAGCAGAATAAACTGGTGAGGAAGGGAAAGGCCATCAGTCAGGACACACACACACCCTTGACTTGCTGTCATATCTTTTAAATCTTTGTACTGCTCTAGGTTTTTTATTGTCTTAACAAAAATATATATTTTTAATGTGTTAGCTGTGATCTAGATAGCCCAACCTCATTAGATCTTGGAAGCTAAGCAGGGCCAGCCCCAGGTAGTACGTGAATGGGAGATCACCAAGGAAGACATGAACGGGTTGCAATGCAGAGGCAAGCAATGACTTGAACGTCTCTTGCCTTGAAAACCCTATGGGGTCGCTGTAGGTTGGCTGTGACTTGACGGCACCTTCCACCACCAGCTGTGTTTTCTCTCTTAAAAAAGAGTTGTTTTGCTTAGCTGAGTTTCTCCATTCTGCTCCATTTCTACACCATGTGAGATTTGTGCCACACCACAGCTAGAGGTGATGGCTGGTTGTGCTGGGAATTATTGAGATGTCTGCTCTACCACCACAGTAGTGATACTAGTGGTGGTATGGTCTTGGTGACCCATGTTGTCCACCTACCTGTTGGCACAGTGGGACTTAGAGAGCAATTCTAAGAAGGACTACTCAGAAGTCATTTTAGTCAATGGAAGTTTCTTCTAGGAAGCTATTCTGAGGATTGCAGACAAAGGGCTGAATCCAGCGATCCAGCTGGCTTTCCCACTTATGAAAAAAGAAGAAAGTTCTTCCCTTTGACCCCCAAAAGGGCTCTGCTGAGGATCTTGGGGCCTGTGTAGATGAAAGGCATGTAGGACAGGAGGAGGGGTCATTTCGTAGAAAAAGAGCTAGGGGAACTCATTAGCATAACTCATTAGCATATGCCACACCCCCTGACATCAGGGGCCCGGCGGTGGACCTGCAAGGCCAGCGGGAGTGCGAGGAAGCCCCGCCAAGGCCCTCCCTGGCCCCAGGCAGGCAGGGGTGGGGAGAGGCGGGGAGGAAGCAACTTACCCTCCCTCTTCTCCTGCCTCCTCCTGGCTGAATGAGGGCCAGAAGTGGGGCGGCCGGAAGCAGGGGGCGGGGCTTCGTCATGTGCCCCGCCCCCCGTACCTCACCCGAGGGAACTGTGTTCCCCCGCGTTCCCCCCTGAAATGACCTCTGGACAGGAGGGAGCTGTAACAACAAGACTAACAGAAAAAGCTGCCTGGATCCAACCCCAACTGTATTTAAGGCCATCAGAATAGCTTTCCTACACCAGATCAGTGCTTGATTCCTAACAACTGGGCAGTAGTTGTCCCTGGGAAGGTAATAAAATGATGAGAAATTTTGCCATTTAATCTGTAGAAATGCAGATGAATGGAACAGTTTATTCATCCTTGATGCTGCTTCAGTGTCCACAAACTCCCACTGACCTACTATCTGCCAGTTGAAGTGATTACATTGTTGTTTCTGTGTTCACACCAAATGAAATCAGTAGGCTCTTTGGCATCTCAGATAGTACTAATGTCCTCAGAGGTAATTTTCCTCAGGGTTGCAATAAATGAGTGTCTTTATATTAGTTTCTTATTATTTATTAGTTATATTAGTTTCTGTTATTTGTTTGGCATCTTACTGTTGCATACACCAACACCAAAATACATCAGTACCAGTCTAGATTTATTTAACTATCTTTTCAGTTAAGACGAGTCTTTGGGAGAGGTGTCCCTTCATTTCCTCCAAAGTTTTACCTTGCAATGACGAAACCAATGGCGGATGAAAGGAGGGCTCAGCTAGAACAGTATCTACAGAATGGTACAGCAAATCTGTTTCATTTTTCTAAGAAAATGACTCCTGATGCAAATGTTAGCTTCCAGTGTTTGAAGTCTTTGGCATACCTAAAACTGTCTCCTTCATTCCTTTGTGCTAAACAGAATAAGGAAGTCCGAAATAGTTTCCTGAATAAGGAAGTCCCAAATCTGTTTCTCTGCAGCTCAAGCATTACCTGTTAGGCTGTTAAGATCTGAAGCAAGTTTTCCTTTATTATGTGGAAGTCACATGTTTCTTCATAGGAGTCTTTATCACAGATTTTATAAGAATGTCGTGTTGCCCAGTCCTTTAGGGATCCTCCCACAAAAAAGGATTAATATTGTCTACTATGCTTTTCTTGGAGATATGGCAGATTATCTTTTTTAAAAGAGAGAGAAATTCCTTATTGTTGATATTCAGACATGTTCTTTTGCTTTTCAGTGTCGAGTGATCCAAGTGTTACAAACAGTGAAGTCTTCATTAGTTTCTTTAGGAAATTACAGTTGGTAAGTTTAACTAGTTTTTATAGCCAGTGGCTTTGAGAAGCCTGCCTCTATGTGAAGACCTTGTGGACTGTCACCTAATTAGCCACCAGGAAATGGGTATAAAGTCAGAGGTATTAGAACTTGACCTTTCAAGTTCTAGTAAAGAGCAATATCTTCGTCCTCTTTCTGAAAGTCTTAGAAGGGAGACGTCCTGCAGTCCACATGTTCATAGCCCTACTTAGAAAGGATGTGGTACACTCTATACGTAGAAGTGGTTCTGCAAGAGGAACAAAAGTACTTTGATTTGGGGGAGGAATTTTATTGGCTACTAACTGCCCCTCCACACCTGTATACTTATTTAGTTATTGTTGTTAGCTGTTAAGATATTTGTGTACCTTGCTTTTCTCCCCAATGGGGACCCTAAGCTATTTAGAATATTCTCCCCTCCTGCATTTTACCCTCATTGTCCTGTGAAGTTAGGCTGAGAGAGAGTGAAGGACCAAAGGTCACCCAGGGTGAGCTTCCTAGGCCAAATGAGGATTCAAACCCGGCTCTTCCGGATCCTAGACTGACACTCTGGACTAAGTAACCTCCAAAGGATTCCAATTCAGGCAGTCAATTATATTTATGCTTTACCACTTTTCAGCACGAATGTCTTCAAAGTGGTTCATATAAACCATCATGAACGTCATAAACCATAAAAGCTAAGATACATGAGCAAATATATCTACAAGTCGAATCCTATTCCATTGCCTACTGGATGTCCCATAATAGATATCGACCTATTCTGTGTAATCTGCCTTGAGCCCCAGCAAGAAAGGTGGAGTATAAATAAATAAGGGCAGTCTTTGTGAATGGAGCTGGGTCTGAGCATGATGGCTGGCTGCCTAAATATTCCCTCTGACGGCTTTGGCAGGAGCAGTTGGAAGCTGGTGCAGGCAGATGTTCAACTGAAGATTAGTCCAGGCTGGCTAGATGTTCAAAACTAAATTATTATCTATAATGCTCCTCCCCATACAGGTGCTGTACAGAAACAGTAAATCTCAGGGAGGATCTGCCCTGAGAGTGCCCTCGTTGCAGGCTTCAGCAGTCCTCATACCCTTGATGCTTTTTTTGAGTCACCTTGGCAGAAGATGTATTATTTACTCGCACAGTAACAAAAGGGTTTTTTCCCCCAGTGATCCATAAATGATTCTCTGAAAACACTGTAAGGGCTTGTTTTAAAAGTTGGTAGGATTATTGGGCTCCAGCACTAAGTGAACAGCTCTGGGTTGTGTCGGGACATGGATGAACAAGCGTGTGGATGTGAAAAAGTCAGCATTTCTTTATCTTGAAAGGGTGGTGACTGCTACAGCCTGGGCTGTATCTAGAGCGTTGCAACTTGAACTTTTAAACTCCATTTCTGTGTCTCCTGTCACAGATAGCTGTGTGAGTTGGGAGTGGCAAGAAGGGGGGCATGTCAAAGTTTTGCCAGGCTAGTAGGACGTGTAGAAGCAAAGACTCTTCTGATCCTGCACTGAATTAAAGCAGCACCTTTGTTTGCTTGTGAACTTTTAACTCTGTCCTTCTGTCAGAATGGCATCAGAGCAGCTTGCCAAATTGCAAGCCTTTACCACAGACAAATCGTGATGTAAATAAAGCATGGATATCAAAGACATTGAAATTAACTCAGCTGTACGATGTTTTCCCTACCTGCACCAGTGTAGCAGTTCATTAGCCTGCCCCATAGCTGTTTCCCCAAATCCTTGGCCTGTAGTGTTGATTCTGGAGTAATATTTGACCACTGGTTCAGTCATGTGCAGAATTAGCACGCCTTGCACTGCATGTCTCAGGGCCAGTTGGAGTACTAACATGAAATACAGTACCAATAAGATAATATAAATGTTTGCATATCATCTTTCATTAGGGAAGTTGGTTTCTGCAAAAATCATGCAACCTATGTAAACATTAAGATTCTACCATACTTCATTTGTTATAAGCTTTCTCTTCAAGTTATTTTGAAGGCTAGGAAACATGTTAAAAGTTGTTTCTACATCGGATTTAGAAGACTGGTCAGTTGTAATATAGTGAGATGAGGATTGGCTTATATATAATATTAATATTTTGGCTATCCTACAGAATCAGCTTATGCTCTTTATATATAGTGTGCTTATCTTTCTGCTTTCTATGTTTGAGATATATCATAGACATAAGAGCTTGATGCTATGTTTACTATAGACCAAATAGTAATCAGATCTTTACTAAAAATACCATAAAATCAGCATTAGGTATTATCAATACTAAAAAATAAGCCAGCGGCATAACATCGAGATAAAACAAACATTAAACAGCCTAAAGAAACCTGTAAAACTAGAAGCAGACCATAAAACAGAAAAAGATCAAACCCACTTAATTAATATCCTGTGTAAAAAGATTTGACCTGATGTTAAAAAGACAGGCACCTGGTGAACCTCAAGGAAGAGGATATTCCACAGGCAAGGTGCCACCACTGAAAAAGCCGTGTCTCTGCTTTTACCCTCCTCAGCTCTGCAGTTGGGGTTTCATGTTTGCTTATTATCCATATTGCATCTCTGTAGTGATCTTCACAGTTAGCAACAAGTGCAAGGAACATATGTGTTCCAGTCTTATTTTTGCATGTCTTGCAGGATACATTTAAAATCCAAACCCAACAAGCCTTTCTAGATGTTTACCTTGCTGATGGGAGACATCTGAGAGTGAATATTCAGACATCAGATACTGCTGAAAGAGTGCTGGAGGTAGGTAGTTTTGCAAATGGATTCAAGAGTATTTTCTATGAAACATTTATCATTGTCACAGAATGGCCTTGCTGACCTGTGAGTGCTATTCTGTTTTGGTTCCTATGAGAAATCAAGGCACCCAGTGGCTGTCCTGGATCTCTGCCCAGTGGCATGCCACTCTTCCAAGTCAGCCTGACACCCAAAGGGGTTCTTTGCTTCCCTCCAGGTGTCTGCTCTGTCACCAGCTGATCATTTAGAGTATCTCCTACTAAGAGGGCCAGCTCTCCTACTACTCTGTCTGCATTGCCATTTAAAGGCTCCACCTATTGCCCTCATCTCCTGCTTTGCTTCAGTTAGCTAACACAGGGACAATTTATCAGACTTGCACGCTCTGGGGATCTAGCAATCTATTGACTGACCACCTCCCTTTCCTTGGTGTACTTTTAGTAAAGTGTTTGAGTGCAGTTTACCATAGTTATGCCCAGTATTCAAAGTAATAAGAAACATATTAAAAGGAAAATGGTCACACACATACTCTGCACAGCAATAGATTGAGCAAGAATACAAAGTAAAGGTGCATACACAGAGTCTTCTGTTCCTCCTCTGAGCATACTCTGACTGTTGTTGTTCTAGTAGGGCTGATAAAATAACAGTGTTCTGTTAGTTAACCATTCCCTTATATTTTTGTCCGGACTTTGTGCCCTGTGTTAGCTCCACATGGTAATGGCAGCCATCAAGATAGAACCCAGGTGCCACAGCTCCTTCCTGCAAGTTATCCCCAGATGGAATCAGCAAAAATGGACCTCACTTCCCTCATGTCAAGGGAATTTATCTCCTCTGTTTGCCCCCCCCCCCCATCAGTCCTTCTCTTCCTGGTAATAAAAGGAAGAGATACAATCTCCCATTTGATATCCCCACAGCTCTGTCCCCTCCTAGTTGTCACATTTCTGCCAGGGTCTGAGATGGTCCCTTGATTGTTCTCTGGCAGGCTAAACGAATTTGCATAACTAAACCTTAAGTCAGAGGTGTCAAACTCATTTGTTATGAGGGCCAGAGCTGACATAAATGTCACTTTATCGGGCCAGGCCATGTGTTCCATAAACATAATGCCAGGCACAGGAGATAGAAACTGTATAAAGGACAGCATCTGGTAAGCTCCAAGTTTGTGTATCCTCACTGCAAGGCCCCATGGGCTGGGAGGGGGATGCAGAGGAAAACCCACATAGGCGAACTGGAGAGGTGGCAGTGCAGTACTGGCCAGACTCTCCCACGCTGCTTGACTGCTGCAGACAAGGTTGTTCTGCCGTGCTGAAGCCACAATGCAGTGGCTCTGCCTACTACCCCCAGCACTCCCTCCCTCGCACCAGTTGCTCGCGGGCCGCATAAGAGCCTTATGTTTGACACCCCTGCCTTAAGTCCTGGGTGCCTCTGAGAGTGCCTGCCAGGATGAGGGCAGTCCGTCTCCTGTTTCCTGTCTTTGCACTGACAGAGAAACTTCTTGGAACAAATGTGAGCAGTCTGCAGGTCCAAAACTCCTTATAGCATGATGTAACCCAAAGCGGAGTGCATTTCTCCACAATCGTCATCCTTATATAAAGCATTTGTTACATTATTTCAAATATTAAGAATTTGATGAGGGAGATGATAAGGAAGCGAGTAGCAGTTTAATAAGATAATTCTTAATAGTGACAATACTTGGAGCCTTAATTATCAACTATTTCCAGGATGCATTCTGGATACTGATAGGATAGCTGGGTTAGTCAACTGCAAGCTAGGTCAACTAGGAGTCTTGTGAAACCTAAAAGATTAACATATTTATTGTGACATAACCTTTTATGAGCCACAGCCCAATTTGTCAAATGAGAAGAACTGGTGCAAATATACCCATAGAATCCACAAGGTGACTGTGACAGAGCCTTCCCTTTTAACACTCATTTTTCATGATGAAGAATTCAGTGGAACTTGAAAGTCTTCAGCACCTTTGTTAAATCAACAAAAGAGATCTGCTTCATCTCTTGAAACCTTTGTAGGAAACATCAAATATTCATTTAATTGTTCTATCTATCCTATAAGCCAGGCATGTCCAACTTCGAACAGGTAGTGATCTATTTTTTTCAGCCAAAAGTGCCAGTGATCTACCACCATGAAAATAAAGTTTCAAATTCGTTTCAAATTAGATTTTAACCCACTAAAGTTGGGTTCCACCGCCCCCCCCATTTATAATGCACCTTCTGTGATTTACTGGTAAGCAAAATAAGCAAAAACAAAACAGAGAGACGAAGATCCAGAAAGAACTGTGAACATTTTTTTATTTTTTATTGAGTTATAACTTTCTTTAACTGTCTCAGTAACTTTCTTTAGCTTTTATTCAGAGTTATTTGTGTTAAATGTAGGTCAAGTATTGATCCAGGCTGATCTTGTGCAATCTTTAAAACTTCGCTCTTGCTCATTAGTGAGACCATTAGTGAGGACCAAGTGGGGCTGGTGATCTACCTCTGACCCCACCGTGATCTACTGGTAGATCGCGATCTACCTGTTGGACATACCTGCTATAAGCTATTATGCAATAACGGAGTTGTCTAGACTACTTTACCAGCTCAGAGTCTATAGAAGAAGTCTCTCTCTCTCTTTTTCTTTTACAGGTTGTGTCCTACAAGTTCGAGCTGTCAAGAGAACTACTAGGGTATTTCAGCTTATTTCTTATTCAGGACCACAATGGAGGAGAGCTTTCTGGTGAGAAGTATATTGTATACAGTGGGGCAATGCCTCCTCACTCATGAGCCCCCGCCCCAGCCCTGATGGATGCCAGACACCCCCCCCCAGTGTGCCACCGTATGCAAGAGAGAGGCAAGGGAAAGGCCATCGTGGGTGGAGGAGAGGTGCCAGGTGTGCGTCACCTTGTCAGGCAGTGAGGCAGCTAGATTGCGCGGCTGAGCAAGTCGTCTGCAGCTTGAGCTGCACAGCTGTACCTCCTGCTTTTGCTTCCTGATTCAGTGTTGTCAGTGTGGCTGCTGTAGGTATTCCCACTTCCCAGTGTGTGAGATGAACAGCCACAAGCAAGTAGAACACATAAGTTTGTGTATCTAATGCCTATACTTGCATAGCAAGTGTTTTACTAACCCTGAACCCTCCCCCAAAGACAGCAACTAATGAACAGGTTTCAGGACCTGTTCCTTGTTTGGGTAGGTTCTGTATAAGTTCTGTTCCTCATTTGGGTAGTTTCTGAAACCTGTTCATTAGTTGCTGACTCTGGAGGAGGGTCCAGGGTTAGTGTATGTTGTCTTGGTATTGTGTGTGTTGCCTCTCCCAAAGTGCTAGAACTTGAGGGCAACCAGTGAAGCTCATGAGAAATCGATTTGGAATGGACAAAAGGAAATACAGGTGATAAAAATGGGGGATTCACTGCCAGAGGATGGAGTGATGGCCACAGCTTTAAAAGGGGATTAGACAGATTCATGGAGGATAGATCTATCAGCAGCTACTAGCCATGGTGACTAAAGGGAACCTCCACATTCAGAGGCAGTCAACCTCTGAATACCAGTGTCAGGAAGCAGCATGACGGGATGGTCTCGGCCTCTATTCTCTGTTGCTGGACCTTCAGAGGAACTGGTTGAGGCCACTGTGTGAGACAGGATGCTGGACTAGATGGTCTACTGATCTGATCCAGCAGGGCTCTTATGTTCTTAGTGCTGCTTTTGCCCAATGCAGATTAGATTTCTGGAAGTTATTAAAAATGCTCATAATGGTTCTTGCTGATCAGTGGATATTCAGGCACATGATCATCTTTTTATAAAAACTACCACTCTTGAATGACAGCAGCTAAACTCAGGTTTCACAAGACCTTAAACTGGACCGTAACTGGCTTGAACACCTCTTGCTGCCCTGCTTGCCTAATCCTTTCTGCTAGTTTGGTGTAGTGGTTAAGTGCGCGGACTCTAATCTGGGAGAACCGGGTTTGATTCCCCACTCCTCCACTTGCACCTGGCTGGCTGACCTTGGGCAAGCCATAGTTCTGATAAGAGCTGTCCTCAAAAAAGAGCAGTTTCTGTCAAGAGCCCTCTCAGTCCCACCTACCTCATAGGGTGTCTGTTGTGGGGAGGGGAAGGGAAAGGAGTTTGGAAGCCGCTCTGAGATTCCTTTGGGTAGTGAAGGGCAGGGTATAAATCCAATCTCTTCTTCTCTTCTTCTTCTTCCCTAGGGTTGACAGGTCCCTCCTGGCCACCGTTGGGGGGGTGCTTACTGGGAGCAGCAGGGAGACCCAGCTTTCATACAGTGATGTGTCTGTGTCACTGTCCACGTGACATGGAAGTGATATCATTACTTCCAGGATGTCTGGGTGACACTCTGGTATTTGGGTGAAAACTCTATGGTAAATTTGGCTTCTACCATACAGTTTTTGCCCAAATACCGGAGTGTTCCCCTGATACCCCGGAAGTGATAATGACACTTCCAGGTCACATGGGTAATGATACCAGATCTCTCTCTCTTTCTGGGTGAGTCCCCACCCGCTGATCAGTGGTGGGGCCTGGGAGCAGGGGACCCTGGCCTTCACCAGGGGATCTGGCAACTCTACCCACCTTCCTTTGCACATGGAGCTTGATCCAAAAGTTCCTGGTTTGAATTAACTCCCATTTGCAGCTGGCTGGATGAACTGGAGTTTGCTTCTCCCCACCTTGCTTAAAAAATAAAGGAAGAGGAACATATGTTTTGAGTATTTAGACATGGTGTAATTTTGGTATTCTTGCCTTGGAGTAAACAGATTCATGATCTGACTATAAGTCCCGTCCCACAGAGTTGAATGGGACTGACTTTTGAGAAGTGTGCTCAGGTTTGCAGGATTGTATAAGCTAGAGCTGTCTGTGTGCAGCAGTTTCAGAGAAGCACAAATAAAGCTCAGGATTTGGTTTCCTGAAGAACTGCAACTTTCATTTTTAAAAAAGCTTAGATGCAGATGTTTGAAAATATGTGTTGATGTCTCTGAAGCCACGGGGGTAGGTGAATAAGATGTGATTGTAAGTATGGCTTCAGTGCCTGGCATATGACTAATAAAAGAACAATAGATTACTCAGACTACTGAACATTTGCAAAATAAAATATGCAAAATAAAAGAAACCGAGTAAATTTGCACAGCATTCAGCTTTTCTTGGTGCAGTGTTTGGATCGTTTGGGTGCAGAATTGTTAGCAATGGGTACACATGCATTTTTAGTATATGCAAAATGATCTCCTTGAATAGCATTTCACAAATTCTGTGTCTTTTCTCCCCTCTTTTCCCCTCTGTAGTGTTGAAAAAACTGGCAGAGTTTGAACTTCCCTATGTGAGTCTTCAGAGTGTCAAAGAGTCTCCTTGTAAGATTGCAGTCAGAAAGTGGTAAGCAGGAAGCAGCTAAAATGAGATTAGCAAAATGCGTTCAAAATAAATGTGACAAACAGAGTGGAAATTTTTACAGTCTTCTAGGATGCGCCTTGGTGTTTAGTCATGCCGGCCACATGACCACGGAAACGTCTTCGGACAGCGCTGGCTCTTCGGCTTTGAAACGGAGATGAGCACCGCAACCCTAGAGTCGGATTTGACTGGCTTTCGAGCAAGGGAACCTTTACCTTTACTTTAGGATCAGATATTATATGGCTTGAGTTCTGACAAATTCAGCTTCTTCTTTTTTTCCTCCTGGGTTATGGCAGTTCTTTCCTACCTACCTTTTTGACCTGTTTCTGCAATTTTGAAGCTAATGGGTTGAATTCACATACTCTCTTCCACTAAGCGAGAGAGGAAGGCTCTCACTTAGCAGAAGAGAGCTTTTAGAATCCAACACACAGTTTATACTAATGCCAATAGTACTTAAGCCATTTTGGTGAGATGCTAATGTATTGTCTACATCTCTATAGTGAAAACTATTATCTGTAGAACAGTTCAGACACAGTTCAGTTCTGGTTAAACAGTCTTAAAGGTTCAGTTGGAGAACATTTTTGTAAGACCATCATATTTTTACAGGCGTTACCAGGGGCAGACTAGGAAGTTAAAATGGTCCAGGGATTAAGCTAAAAGTAGCCCCTACAAGTATAACAGACCTGGATTGCTGGGGGCATTTAGCTTAAACTCCTTGGCAGTAGTGCAGGAAAAGGTGACTGCTGGCAAGGTCTGGCAGAAGTATTGGAGCTTGGCTCTGCTTGTTCCTGGCTGGCAGTGGCCCATCAGGACTTTTCCCTGTAAGTTAAATGGCCAGTCCATCCCTGGCAATCACAACAGGATTTTCGCTTGTGCGTTGTGATACAGGCATACTCAGCAGCAAGTCAGGTGGATCAGAGAGCACGTTTTTGTACATTAGGGAAATATACAGTAATGCATGTATAGGTTTCCTTATTTGCAAAACTTGTTTTCAAACTGACTTTATCTTCTCTAGCTAGTAACGTTTCTGTAATGTTATCTTTGTGTTTGTCACTGGATCAATGACTTTGTTTTGTGTACCTCTTCAAATTTTGGCAGGTATATGGACCCTTCCCTTGATAAAATGCTTATGGATTGCAGCGCTTCTGTGAACTTACTTTATACACAGGTAAGTTCCAAGAGCAAACACTTTTTTATTTCAAAGAAATAATTGTCCTGTATCTTATTGTTCCACTTGGCAAAGTTTGAAACTGCCCTCCAAATTAAGCGGCTCTGTAGCCAGAGGAGGAGCCACTAAAGTTGGAGGAAGGCTCCTTAGGCTGGAGGAAGTCTTCACCCTTTGCCAACCAGAGTGGTAGGGTACAAGCTCATTTGGAGAGGACACTGAGCTTCTAATCATTTAAAAGTGTATCAAGGATAGCTCCATCCTGCTTCACTCTCAGTTGGTCTTGTGGTCAAACAGATTGTGTACATAGGAAGCGTAGGAGCCAGACTAGAAGTGCTGATGGCAAACCTTTCGTATGGAAAGACAGATTTGTCACAGTCCCACAGAAAGCTGCATTAGGTCCAGTTTTACCAATGGGTTACATGGGTGGAGGGCACTAACCCCTACCCTTGCCTGTGGCTAAATTGCTTGTGGCTGCCGTCTAAACACCGAAGTGGGTGGAAAGAAGGCAGCCGAAGGGAGGGGGAGGCAATTGTTGCCTGGGGGAGCAGCATTCTGCACCCCTGCGTCTCTTTTTCTGTGAATATCAGGCACACGCCCAAAGGGTTTCTATCTGACTGTAGCAGATTGAGGTTAAAATATTTGGGTCTGCTGCCATCATGTCTAGTTGGGTCCTAAATTTGCCCTTTCTCTGCATCCCACTTGCAAGTGTTCTAGTCACTTTTCATTCTCTCCAAGCCATGGAGGGGGTGTGGAAAGGGGGGGGGAGATGAACTGTCAAGCAGGGATCAGAGCAGTTCTTTAATGGCTGAAAATAAGTCAGAATTTTTAGCACTGCATATATTAAAATATTATTTCATAGTATCACACGTTGCAATGTTGTATTCTGTCAGGCAACTACCTTCTTCTTCTTTTTTTGGCACCCCGAAAGGGATTTTTTTATTGCTTTTCTATAAACTACAAAGAAAATAGGAAAGGGAATCTAATATCTACGGGAGAAAGAAAAGTTAACCACTAAAAACCCAAGTAGTGAAGATCATTACATAAACTTATAAAATGATTAATCTAATCTATTAATAATACAGTGAGCGTGAATGTTTAAATCTAGCCAATATTCCCTCAAACCCGATATCAATTACTGTTTAAGGCAATTACAAAAGCATCAAACTTAAATGTAGCTTCTTAAAGGTGGAATTCATAGTTCCTCGGCATCTCATTTCTTGGCATTTCTTTTCCTCAAATCATAATCTCTTTTGGGGGCCGCAGCCCCCAACTCCGAATCAGAGTCCTCCTCGGTAGTTGAAGAAGAGTTTTCACCGCTTTCTTTATCCTGGTCTTCATTTTTGTCGTCTTCTCCAGACCTTCCCAGTTGCTGCTTCAAGAACTCATTTGATTTCTTAACAGAGTCAATTCCTTCTTTTTTTTCATTTAGGAAACCAACCATTTGGTTTCAGGAACCAACCATTTGTACTGTATGTTGTTTGTTTGTAAAAACAATGCCAAGTCTTTGAATTTCTTCCTCTTCTTTCTAATTTCAAATGGAATGTCTTTTAGTATCTGTATGGTATTACCGTTGATTTTCAGGGGTATTCCTGATGTTGTTTTAAAGATTTGGTCCCTCACATATCTTTTTGAGAATCTAACCACTATTTCTCCAGGCAAATTATTTTTCTTAATATATTCTGAATATGCTCTGTAGACCACATCCATTTCGCTTTGAAGATATTCCGTTTTCAAATCTGCCACTGGTGCAAGTAGATCACCCAATACTTGTTTTAGATTCTCTCCTTTTGTCTCAGGAACCCCTTGGAATCTCAGGATAAAGCTTGCTTTTTCCATTTGTAGTTGCAAAAGCTGAGATTCGTCAGTAATTCTTTTCTTTTCCAACTCCTGTACACGCTTTTTCACCTTTTTAGATTTGGCATTAACTTCCTGCAATGTTTCTGCTGTTTGCTCTGTTAATTTCTTAGTTTCATTCAGTTCCAGTTGTTGTGCAGCAAAGTTCTGGTTCAAAGTAGTCAATTGCTGATTGATGTTTGTCATCTGGTCCAGCAGAGGGCGCAGTGATTCAGCTAATAGCTGTGAAAGCTCGTTGGTAGCTTCCGGTCTCCAGTTCTATGGCTTTTATGTCCGGCACCCTCTTTTTAAAATGATCTGCTTGGATAGCGCGTCTGGGAGTTCCCTCCCCCGCTTGCTTAAATCAGAGGGGCTTTCTAGCCGAAACTCAGTGTTTTGCTTTCACCCATGACTCACAGTTCATCGTTGGTCCTAGGACCCACCTCAGGTACATGTAAAATGCCCGATCTTCACGCGCTTGTCCCAGTCAGTGACTCTAGAGCAGCAGGACCTTCAGGGCGGAGGGAAGCCTCGATTCCCCGGCATCGAGTCGGAAAAGAGGCAATCTCTCAAAAGCCCCATGGCTAGGAGCCAAAACACAAGGGCTCCGAGGGGGTAGCGGACAATCGCACCCCCTCCTATCCGCTGGTGTTCGGATCGCAACCCCGGGAGCTCACCAGGGTCACGTCCGCCATCGTGCCGTCAAAAACCGGAAGACCTGGCAACTACCTTCTTCCTGAACTATGTGACTAGGGAAGATTGTAAATATGAAAATAAGAGGAGGCAGCTTTAAAAGGGACAGAGTCAGAGGGACGACAGAGTCCAGTAGGCGAGGGTGTGTCTGAGGTAGTTAGTCCGGGCCCCAGAAAGACCTGTGGCCCTACTGAGATGTGCCCTGAAGGAGGACACTCCCCGTAGCCTAAATGGGGACTAAAGAAAGCAGCCCCTGAAGCACTGAGGGGAGGAGGTGGGATAAATAAAGGTTTAGGCCTGACAGGGTCTCTCAGGAACAAACTGTATTGCTGTTCCCATCTCTGTCCAAGAAGGGACCCACACATGGTTATTCCAGCCCGTCTTGGTGGAGGCCAGTAACAAACAGCTCGATCACGGAAGCCATGTTAGTGACAGTAATGCAGACATTTCCACAAACATCTGGATATCTTGCAGAAGTCTAGCACCACTATGGGGCCAGGATGTTAAGGGATTGGGGTAACTTTTATGGCCATAAACACTGCTTTCCCACTGGGCAAGTCCATGGACCCTTCTGTTTGACCGTAATGCATGTCTTCTTGACCGTAATGCATATCTTCTTGTTGTAGCATTATTATTCCTGTACCTTTTCTGCAATACTAGTTTGGGAAGAACCTGATCCCCATATTCAGCAACCATTGGCATGTAGAGGCTCTTGCTGGCCAAGGCCTACAGTATCATGGAGTTTGCTTGTTTGAGTCCTATTAAAGGAGAATGTATCATGGACCGTAATAGACAGTGGTGATATAGCTTTAAAAAAAAATTCATTTGAAGGCGCTGCAGGAAATGGAGAAAAAGTGGATCACACCTGCTGCTGGACAGATGCAGAAGCTTCAGATGCAACAAAAAGCACCAGACAAAATTAAAGTAACCAAATGTTTACAAGGAGTAACCATGACCGGGGATAAATGTTGCTGTGTAAAAATATTGTAAAACTACTACTACCTATGAAGGCTGATAACATTCTTCCAGTTTGATCGCCAAATAACCTTCATATTACACTCTTCCAAATACTTTAAAGCAGAAACTTACTCAATTATAAGTAACAGCCAACAGTCAAAACTGTTATGCCTGAAATGTGGAATAAAATGGTCACTGCTGTTGCTTAGCCTATGTGTAGAGGTTCTGGCAGTAGAAAGGGAGACCATCGTGATGGTATTAAGGTACAGGCCACAATCAGTATAATAAACTATGTTGTCTATTAGTACTATTTATTAAGGAAACCTTTATTTCAATTACAGAATTATTGAAAATCCTTCAAGGTTTTTGGGATAGAGGTTAAGATTAGTAAAAATACACTTTACAGATCTTCTACTTTGACATAATTTAAATTTTAAAATGTAACACACAGGATACAAATCTTTCTCCTAGGAAGTTTTTAAACTTTTTTTTTTTAAGGTTAGGGCAGATTTATACATTTAAGGGAGGCCTTCTGTTTAAAAAAAGTCTCATCCTGTGCAACCACATGTAATTAGAGTGCATTGTGAGTAATAAGGTACACAATTGGGGGAGTGGTTTGTTTTGTTCTAGGAGCTGGATTTTATCTGTGGAATTATTAGTCATTATTAAGAAAAGAAATCCAGCCCTGTACCCAAACTGTCCAGTTATTTTAGAGTAGCCACACCTGGACTTTCCTCTGAAACAAACAAATCTTAATGCCTTTCGTAAACTAGCAGAGTCCCATCTTGTGTTTGAATGAACACTTCTTCTCTCTTCCTTTCCCAACATACGCAGGGTGTGCGTAGGGAGGGGCCCTCCTCCCCGTCCCTTCTTGCGTTGTATGTTGCAATGAGGATTTTGTTGGCTAGGTGGATTTGCTTTTACGTAACCTCAGTATACTTCTTGCCTTTATGCTCTTGCTATTGGAGTGGGGGAAGGAAGGCATGGCAAAAAGGAAGCTGTGGAACTGATCTGGAGAAGGAAAAGGAAAAGTCCAAAACACCAGGCCCAAACCCTCCCACTTCCTTGTTCTTATGGTGTAGGCAGACTCAGAGTTTACAGCTCTGACTCGGTTTTCGTGGGCAACAAGGAAGAACAGGGCACAGATCATCTGGGAAACTGTCCTTACCAAGGCAAGTCCTTCATTTGTGTAGTTGTGCCTTTGGTCATACTGAAACCTGATTTAAGAAGCCCTAATCCTTTTATTAACACAATGCCATTTAGATCCTCATGCCGTAACTTATGAGGGTGCTTCTGTTTTAAGGTGGCCAACTCTGGGTTGAGAAATTCCTGGAGATTTGGGGGTGGGGCAGTTTTAGGGATCTGGGGAGGGTTGGGGAGGGAACTTGTAATGTATTGAAACAATTACATGAATCACCTCATAGGACTCCTATGTTAAGCTTCGAGCCAGACCAGGGCTCCTCTGAGCGAACTTCCTATTGGTCGCTTCGTAACAGCGACCAATCAGAACGATACCATTCCCTAGGAGGGAAAGACTCCCATTGGTTTTTATCCTAGCAATCTCATTGGTTGTTAAATGTAAATAGGCGTGGCTACATTAGCCCGGTTATGTTTAAAAGGAGCATAAGCTCCCACTGTTTTCTGTTCTGGTTTCTTACTGAGTTAGTGCTTGTTCGTTACTTCCAATAAAGCTGAATCACTTGCTGAATCACTGTACGAGTCCTTTGTTAGCGCGATCTAACAGAACTCGAGGGTAGTATAATGCCAAAGAGGATGGGGGCAGTTGCTGACTCCAGTGATGTGGTTATGTCACTTCTAGCGTGACCAGAATTGACATATGCTGACAACGCTCTAGCATTCTGCCAAAACTCTATGGCTAAACCTCTCCCTGGTGGTGAGTCTCCTGCTGGTTGGCAGCCTCATGCTGGCAATCCCATCCAGGCCCCAAAATGGCTGCTCACGCCATAGGTCAGAACTTTCTGCTACTAAAGAGTCACTCAACATACAATACAAGAACAAAAAGGGGCAAAGATCTGATGTAAAACCTAGTGCATAGGTCAGGGGGGAAAGTATCTTGACGCTTTTTACTAGAGGTCTAATCAGCAGCCAAAGTTTTCCAAGACATGGAGGTAAATAACATCACCTGATCAATAACATTTCTATTAAACAGACAGGACTTTTTTTCCTCCGGTCAGTTGGCAACACTTTTGTTGTTGTTCGTCAGTCGCACAGTGGAGTCCGACTCTTCGCGACCCCATGGACCACGTCACACCAGGCCAGCTTTGTGGTTGAAGTGCTTTTTGAAATAACAATAATCACATATCTTTATATTAAAACTTACTGTCCTTCTAACATTCTTAATTTCTGTAAGTATTTATTTTGTTATTGGTTTTACTTTATTGTCTTGGCTGGAGGCCAGAAAATTGAGCATGGAATATAGATGCTGGCTTGTATGCAGAAGTACCTTTCCACCTCCAGGAGGCCTGCTTCAGGCTTGGGTTTTGCAAGAAATGTTGTGTAGTGGCAGGCTAGGATTGGGAAGATCCAGGTTCAAATTTCCTGCTATTGTGTTAGGATTGCCAGCCTATTGGGATCCCCCGATTTGGCAGGCTCCAATCTGCTGGCTGGCTGGCTGGCTGGCTGGCTGGCTGGGGGAAGACCCACCCCTAACACCATGTCCCCAGAGTGATGTCATCACATGGAAGTGATGTCATCACGCTGGGGACACTGCGGTGACGCTGTAGTATTTTGGGCAAAACTCTATGGTGACCGTAGAGTTTTGCCCAAAGTACTAGAGCGTTGGCACGCGGTGTCCCGAGAGTGATGACATCGTGTGCGGGGATGTTGCCCTGCTCCTGAACTCTAGGAGAGCTCCCTCCCGCCCCACCTCCACCGGGAAGCGAAGAGGACCTGGGAACCCTATATCATGTGGAAGCTTGCTGGGTGACCTTGTGCCACTCACGGTCACTCAGCATAGCACACCTCATAGGGTGGTTGTTGTGAGGATCAAATGAAGGAGGTGAGAACAACATTGTAAACTCCTATGGGTCTCCACTGGGAGAAGGCAGGACATAAGGGTTTTTTAATGGTGTGAAACTTGCCAATTGTAGAATATCGATACTGGACATTTTCCTTTTGTTCTCAGTTCAGACACGATTCACTATAAATACAAATGTTAAAAATCAAAAGTTAGAGATAAGTTATAATTTATAGTTAAAATGAAGTAATTTTGCTTAAACCCACTTAGAGAAACTTTAAAAACGACATCATAACTGGAAAAACAGATTTATAGGCACTATGTTTTACTAAATTTAATTTAGGATGATATCATTAAATAATATATTGCCCACATTTTGCATCCAGCCTAGATATAACAAATTTACAAAGAGAGAAACCAGAGCTGTCTGTGATGGAAGCTGACCCAAGGCCTTTGGAGCTGCTGCTGTTGTATTGCTGTGCTTGTAAACTGGGAGTCCGTTTCGTTTCATTTTCCCATTGGCATGATAAGCATTCCTTCAAGCAGCACTCCTGTTTGCAGGGTCCAAGCCCCGCGTGTTCTAGTGCCATACATGCAGCCTTCTGGGTAACTGTTTCATCTCTGAAGAGTCAATGGGCTTGCAGCTGAGTGGAGCTCTTTTCTCTCTCTTCCTTGCCCTGTGCTTTGGCTCTGTGTTGGTACAGCATTTGATTTCTTGCTCCTGAAAATGTGGGGTAATCTGGAGGAATGTCGAAACAAGGCTATAATTTTTCTCTTATTGCACACTACAATTGTACACTTATTGCACACTGCATTAATGGTCATGTTGTTTCAGAATAAGTGGATGAGTTCTCTAGAGAGCCTGAATTTCCTTTTTAAAGATATCCTTAGGATACAACTGTAAAGGTGCATTGCTGAGTGGTTTCTGGAGTCTTGCTAGTCACACTTTCCCGAACACATTAAGCATTCCCATTTGACACTGATGTGTTCGAAATGATTAGCAGGAGAATACCTGCAGTGTTTGAATGTCAGTGTGGGATGTGGGCCCCATGACCGGCAGCCAGATAGATTGGTTCAGATTGTGCTGATAACAGTGGAATTCTTGGCTCTCCTTCTCCCGTTTGTGTTGCCAGCCCTGCCTCTTTCTCTGTGCTGTGCCATAAAAACACAAGAAGAATCCTGCTGGATCCGACCAGTGGTCCATCTAGGCTGGCGTCCTGTCTCACGCAGTGGCCAGCCAGTTACTCTGGATGGGCCAAGCAAACAGGGCATAGAGGCTTCTCCTGACATTCTACATAATCTCCTGTTCTCTGCCACAGTTTTTAGAGCTGATTCAGGAGGTGAGGCACTACGGATACATGCAGCTGGACCCCTGCTCTTGCGACTATCCAGAAGTAGGCTGCACTGCTGCCGTTCACGTGGGAAATAATGAGATTAGCTGCTGCATAAAGTTGCCAAGTAACCAGATCAAAGAGGTCAACTTCAAGATCAATCGGGTGAGGTGCTGGCAAGTCACGTTCCTAGTAAGTACCTTGAGAGAGAATGTGCATCTTTAACATCTGCATTAATTGTTTTGATTCCCCCCCCCCTTTTTTTCTTTCCTAATGCGTTGTGTATTGGAGAATCCCTGTGTCCAGGTTCCTTCTATGGAGGACGTTTTCGCCAGGAAGCTGCCATCTGGTTGTGCTTTCTCACCCTGTGTTATATGCAGCAAGAAATGTGTGTGGGGTGATTTTTGAATAGGGTGGCCTGGCACACACAATTTACCTAGTAGGAAATGGCTTTTATAGAGGACTTCTGGAATATAAAGTCAAACTTTTTGAAAGACTGAATGGGTTCCCAGCTGACTAGAGAAAAATGCTTTGTCTTTTTAATAGAGGCTTAATGGGATGTTATTTACCAGGTACTACTATTTACTTCTGGGTCACAAAAGGCTTCAGCTGCACGTGTCCTGTCGTGATAACAGAGCCTTAGTGCATGGGAAATTTTCTCCAGTCTTATTGGCAACATGGAGTGCATCACTGAACTTTACCTGCAGACATTTTGTTTTTTCATTGCTTCCTTTCTTTGCTGGTCCAACTGTGCAACCCTAAGTAAAGTTATGCTCTTCTAAGTCCACTGTCTTAGAATGGGTTTAGAAGGATTTCATGGATGTAGAAGGGTATAACTCCGTTTAGGATTGTATCGCAAGTGTGGTCAGGCTGTTCCAAAATCTCATTTTGAAGCTGGGTCCAGAAAGTTTCTCTCCGTGGTTGTCAGAAGCCTTTTTACTGATATGTGACGGTCTGGCACGGGCTTACTGCAAATTTAGAAGTCATTCCTAGATAAGAGCTTTACTAATTGTCAAAAAGTCTTTTTTCCTGCTCTTCATAGGCATCAGTGGGTCATCATCCTAATTCATCAAAGGGCTGGTGTTCTCATTTGCAGGTGTTTAGTTTAAATTCTGGTCTTATGTCCCCTTTGTGTTGGATCCCCAAGCATCGAGAATAAATCCACGTTTTAAAGAAAAGCAAAATTTATTTCAAAGCGTTGAAGACATACTCAAACACGTTCTTTGTTAGAACTGGGGATACACAGTTAGGTCAAGCATAATAAAGGAACTTCAAACAGATACAGATCCAATGAATATCTTTCCCGCTGGCGGGCTAAGGAAACGGTTGCGCGCCCAGTACATGGGAACCAGGCAGAACATCAGACAAAACACAGGTGCAGTAGTCCTGGGAAAATCAATAGGCAAGCATTACAGCATCTTCTCCCCCACACAACCTCCAGCAGTTATCTTTTGCATTCCAAAGCAGGAGCAGGATGATAGAAGCCAAGCCGGGTGTAACAGGGAAAGGATATGTACACAGAGGTCACAGAAAACAGAATGGCAGCTTGCTGACACTTTGGCTGGTTACCTTAATTCTTTCTCTCACTGGCTTTAAAACACAGTCTTTCCAGCTAATCCAAATTGTGAGATTTCATCCTGCCCAAGATTTGACCCCTCCTGTGTTTAGGTTGCAGAAACTTTATGGATTATTAATCAACGAGTCAGTTATCGGTAATGTTAAATAGTAGAGTTTGTTATGCAAATAAGGCTTTCTTATACTGACTCCTTGTTAACCTCTTGCTTCAAATTTTGAAGTCGTTCAGCTCTTTCATTTTAAAAGGTTATGAAACACTCTCCTACAGAGCACACTAGAGTGGTGTTTTTTCCTCCTGTGGACTTGATATGGCTCAGTTGTCAACAAAATCAGCCACTGCTGATAAAATTCCATGTATTTATTGACCAGGTTCCAAAGGGCCAGTCCTGAGCAGTCAAATGAGAAGTTGTGGGGCAATATTTATTGAAAGAAGGACTGAGAGAATTGATAGGGAGGCTCAGGGAACTGAGCAGAGTCTAACCGCTGGAAGTCCAAAATGGATAGTGCTAAAGGAGTGAACATTTCAAAATACCTCTTTTGTTACTGCAATGCCAAGTAAGAAGGCTGCTTCTTTGAATGTCATTTTCCATTTTATAAAGTCTGGTGGTTGGCTGTTCTCTGCGACCAGATTATTTGCTAGCCATTGGATTTCACACAACAAAATACAATTACACATTGCGCAGGTTTTTTGACTTCTTAGTTTTAAACCAGTGCTAAGTGGACTCAGTCTTTGAATTAATACTCCTGCATCGCAGTCTTACCTCATTTTCTTTTAACTGCTCAGGGATCTCTTTCAGACCAAGGGCTTGACCAGGTCTTGGAGCTCAGGTTCGAGTACCATGATTTTGACACTTGGAGATGGATTGTCTTTAACACAAAGCAGGTTGGTCTTGGTGCACTTAACTAAAGGAGTCAGAAAGGCCGGCTGTGCAAGTGCAAATGCGCATTTTGGAGCCTGAAGCTTTTTAAAAAACCCAATGAGGGTAGGGATTCAGAGTAGAAAAGCAGCCACTGTGCCATCCATAACCATTTCCTCACCGCTTTCAGTCTTCCCTAGGGCAGGGTTCAAAACTAGTGTGTGCCCACATTTTGAATCTGGGGGTGGGAATAGAGGGGGAAAGCTGCAGGCCGTGTTTAGATACCATCTGCAATGTCTCTGTTCGAGGATCCTACCCTCCTGAAGCTGTTTCTCCTGCACTTATACAGCATTGAGCTCTAATGCAGATGCTTACGTGTAATGTTTCTTTCTTTGGTAAGGTTTTTTTTTTTAATGTACATGTGTGTGCACCTGGGAGTCATGGTGACTTCTAGTGACTGACTCCTACTGGGGGCTTGGAGGATACTCAGAGAGGTGGCTGTACAAAGCCTGCCCCCGCCTCCTGCCTCTGGTATTGCTTGGAGGTCTCCCATCCAAGTGCTTTCCAGAGTCGGCCCTGCTTAGTTTCCAAGATTTGACGAGACTGGGCTTGCCAGACTGTCCAGGTCAGGGCTTGTAACGTTCCTTAAGAGGCAGTTGCTCGTCATCTTCAGGTGTTGAGTGTGAAAAGGGGACAGAAAGTTTAGGAGATGTATGATGGATCTTCCTAGCAACGTCTGTAACTGACATATAGCTACCTGGGGGCTCCTGGCTGCATTGGGGGGGGGAGGAGAAGTGCTTAACCCATCCCAGCAGGGTTTCCTTAACGAAAACGGATCCACCTCTCCATCCTGTTACAGCTCCTTCCACTCCTTTTTTTCTGTCTTTTTCCTTTAAAGAACAAATACTACTTTCATTTGTGGAAGTATGCTTGGGGTAGAAGGGTTAAATTCCACTTCTCGTTTCCATTTGGCCCCAGTCCAAATCAAGGCTCTGCACAGCTGCAATTCAGCTTTAAATGATGCTGCGATTCCCATGATTTTTCTTGCATCTGGTTTGACCTAATCGGCCTCTGTTGTCCTAGTAGAAATGCTTTAAAGCGCTGAAATACCCCTGCTCACAATATCTATATCTATGTGAAAACATTGGCTTCTTGTGGGGTTGATTCTCGATAGCCTTATAAGATGGGAATGACATGCCCTGTCCTGGATAGCCCAGGCAAGCCTGATCAGATCTCGGAAGCTAAGCAGGGCCGACTGTGGCAAGTACTTGGATGGGAGACCTCCAAGGAATACCAGGGCCGGGATGCCGAGGCAGGCAATGGCAAGCCACCTCTCTGAAACATCCAAGCCCCAGTAGTGGTTTCCAGAAGTCAACCATGACTTACAGGTGTGCACACACACACCTACCAATAATAATAATAATAGATCAGGGGTGTCAAACATGTGGCCAGTGGGCCAGATCAGGCCCTCGGAGGGCCCCAATCAGGCCCGCAAGGCCCTGTCTGTTTCCTGCTTCCATTTGCTGCTGCCATGTTACAGCTTGCTTTACCAGTCTCTCTCAATCGCCCAGGAGAGATAAATAGGCAAGGCTCTCCTGTGCAATAGAGAGAGTCGGGTAAAGAACTGGCTGAGGCTCCTCCCTGGGGAGGGGAGGGAACAGCCAGAACTCACTTCCTGGCCAGGCTGCAGGAGACAAAGGACAACTTTTATTTCCTTCCACTGGCTGAGGCTCCTCCCTGAAGGGAGAGAGGGAATGAGGAACAGGGAGGAAGCAACTTACCCTCCCTCTTCTCCTGCCTCCTCCTGGCTGAATGAGGGCCGGAAGTGGGGCGGCTGGAAGCAGGGGGCGGGGCTTCATCATGTGCCCCGCCCCCTGCACCTCACCCGGGGGAACTGCGTTCCCCTGCGTTCCCCCCCGAAATGACCTCTGTGTCCACCCATCATATTTCCTTTGTAGGAAGTTGTATTTATTTCTCTGGGGAAGAGTACAGTTTTGTAGACAAACACATGGCCCTCAGTCTGTGTTAGGATGCCTTCTCATGTTCTTGACCAGCACATGAAGCAACTTATGTACAAGAGGTTGCTGTGCCCAGCCATTTCATGTTTTCCTTTGGATCCTAGGCTAGAAGCACTGAGCACAAGATTTTTGTAATAAATGTCAATAAATTTATTTATTTATATTTATTTATAATTCAATTTATATCCCAATTGGGGCAAAAGCCATGTTTAAAACAATTAAAAACAGAATAAAAACATAACAATAATACAACAAAGTGCTGGTGCTCTGATGTTCCCAGTTCCAAGATGGGTTCTGGTAGGGTGGATTTGGACCAACGACGTAAGTTCCAAAATGGCAGATAGCCAGTCTTCTTCCCAGGGCCCGCTTGCACCCTGATGGTATCTCCACCAATTTTCAGCGGCGGTGCATTGGTGGAACAGTAGCGGCGGTGGCTCCTACTTGGAAGCCTGGCGGAAGAGCTCAGTCTTGCAGGCCCTGCGGAACTGCGCAAGATCCCGCAGGGCCCGGATCTCCTCCGGGGGCTCATTCCACCAGGTAGGAGCCGCCACCGAAAAGACCCTGGCCAAAGTAGGTTTGCAGCTTACAGATATACACCTGAACAGCATACTCAAGATTGCTACAGCACAGACATTTTGATGCAGTAATTCAGAGCAGAGGTGTCAGTTATCAGAGACTGTTAAATAGACAACATATTGCAAGGTTGCTAGTGTTTTAAGCATGTTTTATTTAAAGTTTTTTTAAAATCTTTAATTGCGTTTGTCTATCTCTGTCCTTTATAAAGTTTATATCTCCGCTACCTGGCATTACATTTTATGACACACAACAAGGTCTCATTTATGACAGATCCGGCCCTCATAACAAATGAGTCTGACACCCCTGTAAGAGATGGTAATGATGTGCTCTCATTGGAGAAGTTGTTATTTGAAAACACTATTATAGGCTTATTTGAATACATAAAGGGTAATTTGCAGTGAGACGGACTACAGGAACAGATATCCCTGTACATCCCAGTGGCTTAACATTGCCTCTGAAAGGGGACTTTCCTGGTCCTACCATTTGAGATTTTAGTGGCTTATGTTGGTTTCCTGTCTTGCACAGCTGTACAGCAGATAAGGAATAGTGCTGCTTCTTCCAAGAGCCAACCAAACATCACTGTTTAGACAAGGTCACAGCAAAGCAGGGGGGATATCTGGGACTGACATCATAGAGGTGGGAGCTGGAGATCTCCCAGAGTTACAGCTGATCTCCAGACTTCAGAGGTCAGTTCCCCTGAAGAAAGATTTCTCTCATTTTTAGGCATTTCTCCTAAGTAGTTGCTTAAAAAAGATGATAACGGAGCAGCTGACGACAACCAAAAGTGATCCAGAAAGGGTAAGCAAAGCTCATCTCGATGACCCTGCTTGCCTAACCCTTGGCTATTGCGTGGCTCCAACCCTCAGGAGACGTCTCGATGACCCATCTTGTCTGTGCCACTGCATCCCCTTGTTTTGTGCAGACAAGCGGCTGACTGCCTTCTCAGGGATCAGGAAGGCAAGCAAGGCTCGCTGCTTGTAAGTCCTTGGCAATGCTTTGGCGGCAGTCTTGTGCACACTCACTTAGGGGCAAGTCCCATTTGGCTGAGTGAGTGAATGTGCCATTGAGTCAAGATGGAAACTGAGGAACTGGGGCACAGAAACTGCTGCCTGCTGAAGGCCAACCACCATGTTCTTTCCCGTCTCAATCCAGACCTGTCTTACAAACTGCCCTAGACATCCCCCACCCCACCCCCCAAATTTTCTAGAATGCCACTTTTTATTTTTAGGTAAAATTAATAACTCTAGTTCAGGATAGTTTTAACACTCATGTGTTCAGAAGTAATTTTATCTACCAATTGTCTGCTACCGGCTACAGAATTCATGGTATACCTTAGTCTACTATTTACAGGGCAGAAAATAAGACCTCCAGACCCAGTGCTTCTTAACACTTGGATCAATGTGACTGTGTGATATAGTGGCGGGGATCTGGGAGATCTGGGTTTGAATCCCCCACTCTGCCATAGGAGCTGGCTGGGTGATCTTGGGCCAGTCACACGTTCTCAGTCTACCCTGCCTTTGTTGTGAGGGTGAGAGAACAATGATGTGTCACATTGGGTAGTCATTGAGGAGCAAGATGGAGGTAAGTGAAATAATAAATAAACTGCTGCCAGAAATGCTTGGCACCGGTGGAAGCTAGCAGTCAATCCTAAAGGAAATCATCCCTGACTGTTCTCTGGAAGGCCAGATACTGAAGCTGAAGCTCAAACATTTTGGCCACCAAATGAGAAGGGAGCAGTCACTGGAGAAGACCCTGATGCTGGGAAAGATTGAAGGTCAAAGAAGGGGACGGCAAAGGATGAGATGGTTAGACAGTGTCATCGATGCAAAGGACATGAAATTGAGCATGCTCCGGAGGACGGCGGAGGACAGGAGGGCCTGGCGTGATGTGGTCCATGGGGTCGCAAAGAGTCGGACTCAACTGTGCAACTGAACAACAAAATAGTATAGGTGTAGCATAGTGGTTAGGACCTCTGACTTGGGCCTGGAGGATCAGATTCAGATCCCAGGTTCTAATCCCCGCTCTGCCCTGGAAGCCCCCTGGGTGACCTTGGGGTCCGTCTCAGCTGATCCTTCCTCACAGCATAGTTGGTGAGGATAGGGTGGAGGAGGGGAGAACACTCTGGTAAGCTGTTTGGGGTCTCCGCTGGGGAGAAAAGCAGGGTATAAGTTTTTTAAAAATTTTTTACAGTTTCTACAGCCTTCATGTTGGTCATTTGACCTTGTTTGTATAGAAGTGTTTTTGACATTTAACCATCTCTTTTGGCAGACTGAGTTGCCTGAACCAGGTAAAGCTAAGAAGCAAAGCATTCATGCGAACCAGGTTTGTAAATAAAAATTGCATGAACAGGATAGAGAGGAGGGGGTGTGGGATGAGGGTAGGAAAGAAGGTTGTTGCTGGTAGGCTGTTCTGAAGGCTTTATGGGCAGCTCTGAGCCACAGTGTGGTCTTACCTGACTCATACAAGAGAATTGTTCTAGTGAAGATTTATGGGAATGCTACCGACAAGCATCAGAACAGGATGGACTTGAGAGAGAGAGAGAGAGCGAACGTAGCTTAGGGGTTCAGCAAGGAACCCCACATTCAAGGCTTGCCTCTGCCACTGACTCATGACAGGGCCTTGGGCAAGCCACTTGATTTGCAATATGGCAATAATACTACAGACCTGTATTACCCAGTGCTTGTTAAGATTGCTAGCGGTGCAATCCTAAATAGATTTATACCCTTCTAAGCCCATTGAGGGGCTGTGGTGGCCCAGAGGTTAAGACACTGAACTGAAGACTGGAAGGTCTGTAGATCGGCAGTTCAAGATCTGAGTGCCGCAAGATCTGAGCTCCCGTCTCTGGCCCCAGCTCCTGCCAACCTAGCAGTTCGAAAGCAAGAAATTGCAAGTAGATAAATAGGTACCACTTTGGTGGGAAGGCATTCCGTGTGCCTCGGTGTTTAGTCATGCCAGCCACATGACCACAGAAATGTCTTCGGACAGCGCTGGCTCTTCGGCTTGGAGACAGGGGGGATGAATATCCCCCTAGAGTCAGATTCGACTAGCTTCCAAGTAAGGGAAAGCTTTACCTTTACTTAAGTCCATTGATCCAGGCTAACCTGATCTTCTCAGATCCCAGGAGCTAAGCAGGGTAGGCTCTGGCTAGTATTTGGGTGGAAGACCTCCAAGGAAGTCCAGGGTTGTGACCTGGAGGCAGGAAATGGCAAACCACCTCTGAAGGTCTTGTGCCTTGAAAACCCTCTGGGGTCACTAGAAGTCAGCTGTGACGTGATGGCACACCAAAAAAGAAAAAGGATTCGGAAGGGTGCTGCTCTGCTTAGGACTGCTTAGGACTGTAAGTCATGTAGTTGAAGCACTTTATAGGCAGTTAAAAATGTTATGTAAACACTAATAACTATCTCAGGTAATTCGCTGCTGCTTGCAAAGGCACAGTCTAC